TTAAAGTTAGTTAAGTTAGTTAGTTAGTTAAGTAGTAGTAGTAGTAGTAAGTAAGAAGAAGAAGAACGTAACTAACGTAACTAACTACTACTACTACTACTACTCTCTCTCTCTCTCTCTCTCTCTCTCTCTCTCTCTCTCTCTCTCTCTCTCTCTCTCTCTCCAAAATTAAGTTTGAACCAATCAAAACTTCCACAAACCTTCAAATTCAGCATTGAGTTTAAAGGACTGAATTCTTTGAACGGGAGGAACAACACAAGTAAGGTGCAGCAAATCTATTAAAAAAACGAAGCTAGAATAATGGTCTAACCAATGCAGTGAAATAAGAACTCGTTTCCGAGCAGGTAGAACTCTCTTAGTCATCTTGGTAGATATTGTCCATCAATAACTTATCAAACTAATTTATAATCAATTAACAACTGTAAAAATATCTGATGAACCTCAAAATTAAATTTCTGAAATATATCCATGTCTTTATGGAAAATATATCAACATAGAGGACCTAATACAGAGATCTTGCAATGGAAAAAACAGGAGGCAGAATCATAAAATTAGAAATAGTATGAATAACCTATTTCCATATGATATAAGGGAGGTGTAAGCAGATAGTCATGCCATGCATTTTTAAAACATACTGCACAAATCTTGTACAACTCATTGGAATGTTATTATCCTTTCATCATCATCCCTTTCACCATCATCATCCAATCCTTATCCCAATTATTTGATGAATATTGAACCAATAAGAACCAAAAGTAAATGATGTGAACATTCCAAAGGTGCCACATCAGAGCAATTTGAAAATCTTACATAATAAACATACTCAATTTCAAAGCTTAGCATAGTTATTTTCAAATCTTAGCATAGAAAGGGTGCCTAGCTATTTTATGACCCCCTCCAGATAAGCTTCTCCGTTGAGAGGTCCAAAACATGATAAACATCACTAAGTGGTAAAGCATCACAGTTTTGTTCCAAACGGTATCAAATAGAAATAAGGTTCAGAGAAAATTAGTGAAGCATCGCAGTTTTGTTCCAAAGGATGTCAAATAGAAATAAGATTCAGGGTAAATTCATAACATAATATAGATAGAGCAGACCCAAGGGGCAGGAAGACGAAACGGATTACATTGTCATTATCTTTTTTTGAAGAGGGTCAACAATAGTACAAAGGTAAGAAGAATTACAAGAGAGTTATGGTGTCCCACAGGTTGGGCACTCTATACATTTCCAATTGTGGTTATCAAGAGTACGGATACATTGGATCCGAATTAGTCACCAAATGACGCACATGAATATTGAAAGAGATTAGAAATCCTACCATATGGTCTACAACACCACAATCCATCAAAAATTTGCAATATAGTATGACAAGATGATGTGCCTGAGAAAGGATCTGTGATAAAAATCCATAAAGATTATATCAAACAATTGCATGAAACATCTCCTACCCCCGCTCAATCGGGCACGCTGAATCAAATACGGCAGAGGCCCTAGCCCTCCTTGAAGTCCTCAGAACTTCAACCCCAACTGGAGCTCAACCCTACTCATTGAGGGAGACTCCAAAAACGTCCTCACTTGGGCTACTAGACCCTCACCTTGCCCGTTGAGGTTAGATCATATTTTTTATGAGAGTTACCACCTTTGCAGGGATATGCATCTCATGGGGACATACATGGAGGGAAGCAAATGCAGCAGCCGACAACCTCACTAGACAGGGTGCCGCACAAGCCAGAGCCTCTATCGCAGATCCAAAGGAGACCTTTTCAGCACACCTTTTGCTTGCATGCCCTCCTTTTTGATACCTTTGTCTTTTGCCCCCTGACTGTATAGTATTCTTTCTGCCCTAATGGGCTATCATTTTTTACGCCCCAAACTGTACAGGGCACCCGGCATGTGGTTAGCCTATACCTGTGTAATTTTCTCCTTACTTAATACAACAACTCTCATATTAAAAAAAAAAGAGCTGCATGAAACAGTGGTGTAGATTCTTTTGAAACAAACAACTCAACTATAAATATCCTAACAATGAGATATCAGATAGTACATTACGCAGCAAGCTGAGGAATGATCGAACTATACATTTTATGTTCATCAACTACATTCTAGGAAATGTCTCGGCTCCTTTTCTTTTCTCATTTCTTTTTTCCCATATGTATCAAGGATAAAGGTAGGTGGCAACAAGATGCATAAAGAAACCATGGGACACAGCAAAAGAAAATAAGAGGTGACAAAGGATAGGAGAAAAGCAATGTATTAAAAAACGGTCCGCCTGGGGCCAAGGCATGCGCCTAGGCGGCCTGGACCAAAAATCTGCCCGCCTAGACCCAGGCGGCCCTACACGGGCGGATGTACCTGGGCGGGCGCCAAGGCGAACTAGGCGTTTCTCGTTTTTTTTAAAACTACGAGGACACCCGAGGTTTTGGGTGCCCACCTAGGTGCTGGGCGCTGGGCGCTAGGCGCTAGGCGCCAGGCAGGCCGCCTAGGGGCCGCCTAGAGTTTTTTGAAACCTTGGAGAAAAGCAAAGAGATGAGAGAAATGAGTAGTCAAACAAAGAGGTCAGGAGGATGACAACATCCTAGATCAAAAGGAAGCCTCCTCCCCACTCCATTTTTTTTTGGACAAGGGGATTTACCACCCAAATAGCTTTACTTAGATTTGCAAAAGAAGGAAAGAGGCACCTCGTTGCTTCTCTATGGACACCTTTCTTAGCAATTAGAGTCTCAGCTTCCACATACGATGGCTTAAGAAAAAAACAATCAAGGCCTGACACAAAGGGCCTTGCTTCTGCTTCTACAGCATCACGAAGTCCCTAATATGCTTCCCTAAAGCTTAGAAAACCTATAAGTGCCATTAAAGATCTACTCACCTCTCTTTCCAAATGCGAAAAGGATGACTAAGGTTTGTAATGACTAACAGCATGTAAGCCCTTTGGAGATTTTTTTTTTCTCAGGTATTTAACACAAGATTGAATTGAAAAAAGCATTTCAATTCTGCAATCAATTGCAGAGTTTTCCCGCCAACTGTTTGTCAACATACCAAAGCACATAGATGCAAACCCTAAATCTCAGTTGAAATTGTCTAGCAAATACCAGAGGAGGGCCAAGTTAGCAGCTCAGAGATTTGAGTAAGATTGTCAGTGTCATGAAATCAGTCTATCCATGAAAATCAAATGTATTCGCTTGTCATTGTGCACAACTACTATGGGTGTCTTGCTATTCTAACATATACTTTTAGTTGCTCATAAATTTCCTTGAACACCACCATGATGAAATTATGTTAAACATGTTTGAATGACACATTGACTAGAAGCAGGCTTGTGAAGCCAACTATAAAAAACGTTTTCCAGATTTAGCAGGTTTCCCAATGCAAGAATGTTCCACATTCATCGTGAATTTATAAGTTAATGTCTTCTTCTTCGAATAGTTGCCCAGTATTGCAGAGGCTTTCCCCGATCACATAAGCTTTTCCCTAAACGAGTCTCACAATTTTCAAGTCCTGAGTCAGTTTCCAAGGGCTACTAATAACTTTCAAAGTTATTGTACACATGTAATTTCTGGCATTACTTATCCACCAAAAGCACTATAGTTAAAGAATAAAACCCAGCCGAATTGTCTAAAACTAATACTAGTGATCAGTGGTTCCAAGTCATACCAAGTCCATGTTGAGCTTCTAACTGTTTCTTGTATAATTAAGGCAGAAGCTTATCAAACAGAAAGGAATTGTTTTATATCAAGTGAATCAAACAAGCAGATATAAACCAAATGCCACTAATAATTTAGCAACGGGTACTTACGTTTTGGACAATGCATCAAATAGACTCTGAGCCTCACTTGTCACTCCAATTCCTATTCTTTCAGCCTCGATCTCCGCCTGTCTTCCTCCCAAAAGAAGAAAACAGATAACAATACATCCAGAAATAAATGATTAAAAAACAAAAACATTCCTCGATTGAAAGAGTGACAATTAATCACAGTTCAAAAGAAAAGGAGAATACAGCTGTGGTCTATATAACCCCAGCAAGAGGAGCAATGAAATTTATGGAAAAAAATGAGGAGGAAAGATAAAGAAAATTCTAACAAAAACTGCACTTTCTATTGTTTGAGAAATACCTTATGGCCGATTCTTCACGAGCCTGTAGAGAGTTGAGATCGATGGAGCACTTGCTGAGGTCAATGGGGTCTTCAGCATGGCCCAAGAGGGTGAATTCCTTTATGTAGCTCGCCTTCAGCAACCGTAAGTTCTGTCTAGATCCATTATCTGACATCTCTTGTGTTGGATACACCCATTATTGTTAAGAAACTTTTGCAGCATTAAGAGGAACATTTCACAAAAATTAGATGGAGAAAATCAACTCGTATCAAGTTCTCAAAGACAGAGAGAGAGGAACTCAGAAGAGAAGAAGAAGTGAGTAATCAAGATTCAAGAAAGGGGAGATGAAAAAATGAAAGAGAAAGGATATGGATAACAAGCATGTCTGATGGCCTGTCGAAAGTGAGGAGCTGCCCCTGAAACTCATCCCCGAGGCTCGTCTTGATCCACAGCAAACATCCCACCCCCATCATCCCCTCCCCCAAATTGCTATTGCTTCCCTCCATTCTCCACTCTCTCCCTCTCTCTACAATACAGGAATCCCCGCCTCTTTTTCTCTCTCCTCCTTTTCTCCCTCTCTTTATCTTTCTCTCTCTTTCTATACGCTTCCCTTCCCCTTCTCTCTCTCTACACGTTGTCGCTCTCTCTCCCTCCACCAAAACCCCGCCTTTCTTTCCTTCTTTCTGCCTGCTCCGCCAGTTTTGTTTCAAACGTGCTTCCCCTTTTGGCAAGGGTGGTAACGAGCCGGGCCAGTCCGGGCCACAAACTTTTGTAGCCCGAATTTTGTTTGGTAAGTTTCCTATGATGAGGTTTCTTTAAGGCTTAGGCTTTATGAAAACAAAATAAACCCTCATCTCAAATCGTCGCTGAGAAAGCATTTTTAAAAATAATAATATCTGTAAAATCAATTTCTAATACCAACAATAAATCTATTACCACTCTTATTTTTAAGGTGAAAGGGATGACCGAGATAATTTATTACAATATACATTACTTTTAGAGTTTGAATTCCTTTTTCTTTTTTTATCACAACTATAATGTTCGAGCCAAGATGATTGATATAGAGGTTTTCCAATGCTTGAATTACAATTTTCGATAAGTTATAAGGTGAGGCTTTACTTGTTTTGATAGAGCTGGAGCCCTATTAAACCATTTTCTCATACAAAAGGGTGTGGTTTCTCCAAGGCTGAGGCCTTAAACAAACAATGTCAGTCGCACCTTCAAATGGTATCAGAATATGTTGTTTCAATATAAAAATTGTGTGATAGCCTTAAAATTTATTTTCATCTTGAATTATAAGATTTAAAGATAAAAAAATAATGTGGGGGAATGATTTCATGTAATAGTTTTATAGAAATATTATACAACCATCTTTAAAAACCATGTTAGAAATATTTGTTTGACATGAATTTTAAATGTACACTCTTTTCATTCTAAAACACAAACACAAATAAGAAAATTTTGAAAAAACACCCTAGAAAGTGTTTTTCTAGCCCAATAAATATAAGCTGTCCATTTTAGTGAGATGGTTAGATATAGGCCTAAGAATGATTTTTTTACTCCCAAAATTTTTATATAGCATTATCATCGTTAGATTAACAATGGTAAACAAGAAAAAAACTGATTTTGAATTTATTAAGGCCTAGATCTTGAAATTCACCAAATGGACGGTCGAGATCCATTGTTAAAGGGTACTAATTTTGACCATATCTAAGGTGCAAATTGAATTTTTTTTTTTCTGTAGAATTGATAATGAGGATGAAGAGAATGTGTGTGAAAAATTTGAGGTCGCACAAATACCAAAAACATGGATTTCTAGAGATTTGGTTGCATTATACTACTATACAACTGTTGCATGAAATCATTCCCCAATAATGTATATTGAGTAGTAGATCTATGAACACTTGAAAATTGACGGTCTAAATACATTATAAGATGCACTATTTTCAAAATTTAAAATCTTTTTTTTTTTTATCATATCTATACATCTAAAGGTCGAGATGATCGAATCAAAGGTTTTCCAATATCGAAATAGCCTCTTCTAGTGCATTTTTAAGGTGCGACTCAATTTGATCATTTAGAGCCTCACTCCTGTATAAACTTTTTCCAAAACAACCTGGCTATAGCCCAACCGGTCCTATTTAAAGCAAAACGCTCTGATACCATGCTCCTATGGGATTACACTGTGAACATCTTCCCTCGAGGAAAAGACCTTGTTACCAGGATTTATATTTGGAAAATTTACGATTTACCTTTTCGGGACTAGACCCAGTGGTTTATAGGGAGGTCTAAAATTTTTGAGTTATTTTATTCTCAGTTTATCTCTTTTGAATAGCCTAAAGCACATAAGGCTATGAATTTTTGGCAATTTAAAAGTTTTGAATAAATTTTGGATAGTTTAAAAGTTGGACTCGAGAGTTTGGCTTAAAAAAAACCAACCTGAAGAAAAAAAAAAAAAAAACCAAAGTTTTTCTAGCTGATTGTAAAGTCCAACTTCGATTATCCAATATTCAAACCGGCCGAATTTTCATGTTTTGGAAGAAGCTCAAAATTTTGACTTTGAATAAAATAGGAAAATAAGTTTAAAAGATTTAGCTCTCACCAAAAAATTCCTATAATACATACTACTTTTAAATTGAGAAATTTTAAAATTATTTTGGCTGCGTACATAAATGTATCTTTATTTATTAGAGAAAGAACAAGATTCACATTAGAATCACCAGATGAATATTCCCCAACAATGCCTAGAATATCAATTTAACATTTCATCTATTTTATCAATCTACACTTCAAATTTCAACTAAAGTTATCAAACAATACCTAGAATATCAAAGTTTAACATTTCACCTATTTTATCAATCTACACCTAAAATATCAACTGCTCTAAGTTCCTGACCAGTGCATTGACTGAAATTTTTGGAATTAAACTAGAAATGATGAGGTTTCAAATAATTTTTCTCTTGGATGCTTTTTGATAAATTTCTTAAAAAAAATAAATTACATTAATTCATCGAACTTAATTGAGTATCAAATGCCTTTCGGGATTATAACAAGAACTTAGTCAAATTTCAAACAAATACGAGATTATCGCGAATCTGAACCCATGTTGACTCCATTTTAAGGAGCATAGCGACAATAATTTGGTAAACAGTTCCTAATTTCTTGGTTTAGTTTCAAAAAGAAATTAGTAGGAGTTTCCTTTTCTAAGGAGCTTCAATTCTTCAATTGAATAAACAAAGAGATTTTGCTTAAGTTGTGACAGATCTTCCATCATCTACTTTCTTAGACTTGGAACTTATTCAAATCTTTTTCCTTTGCCAATAATTATCTGGGAGCAAAAGCAGCAACTGAAGTGCAAGACCTTTGATGACATGGGTAAGTGAAGAATGACTTATTCTAGAAAAAAGCTTATCATTTTTTTTTTTTGTTCTGTTTCAAACATAGAATTTAACCATGCCGTTCCTTCAAGTACCTCGGATTCATCGGTGACGGCTCCTAGAAATACAAAAAGCTATACATTTGATCAGCGAGAAAGATTGCTAGCATTTGGATTTCAAACTGTTTGTTTTGCCTTGCCAGATCTCCCTAGAAAGACAGCAATGATTGCCATTCCTCCATTCAGAAAGTCTGAATAATTTTGGCAGACATCTAATGGAGGAATGAGACATACTGATCATCCCTGAAGCACCTAAAATTTGTTCGAAATACTCGGCAAAGTGTACAATCCCTTCAAAATTATGAGAAAATATCATAGAAAATCACATCAAAAAATTAAGTCCGACGCATAAATCAGAGGATTTCATTTGGGATTCTTCCAGATTTGGTTGTAAATAGGTGGTTAATCAACAATTTTATCAACTAATTCTTTACTTTTCAAAAATATTTTCTTGTAGTACCTCTTTAAGAATTTTGTTGAAAGATTTCCAAAATTCCTTTTTCCAAGTTTGTAATCAAGTGAGAATATTTTGGCAATTTGACCAACCTAATTCACAACCCAGAATATATTTCTTTATCTATTAAAAGGAAAAAGAAGAATCTCATCCCACATTCCGGACCTAGAATAAGGATAATTTTGCCCCACTTAAACTACCTGATCAAAAAGGCATAAAAATAGCTCCACTTCCTCTGGGTATGGAATCCAAACAAGAACTACAAAATATTTAGCATGTATTTGGTGAAGTTCAAAAGAAACAAAGAAAACAAAATATAAAAAATATCAAGAGAGAGAGAGAGAGAGAGAGAGAGAGAGAGTAGTTGCATGCTAGTGCCTATGATTTCATTAGTAACCTCAAAATTAGTGTGATCTAATCAATTTTATAACAAAACCCTAAAATTCAGGACTTCTGTTTGGACTGAACTCCAGCGGTAGTAAAAGGGAAATTTAGTATGTCTTCAGTTTCATGAATGGATGAAAGCTCCATAAAGTCAACAACATTTTCCATCTCAAAATATCTTCATTTAGCAACAGGGATCTAGCCCTCCAAGTCAATCCGCAACATGGACCTTAAGCAACAAGTAACAATAATTAGTGACTGTAAATGGTCAGACAAATGTTATTGACATCAGATTCACAGCAAAACAGGTATCTTAGGACTTCCGCATTATGACTAGAACAAATACACAATAGTATCCGGTGACATAGGAGCTAGAAGGAAAAGAGAGTAGATCTCTCCAATGGACTTAAAATTATGGTTGAGGCAGCGCCAAGACCGTAAACCACAAGGCGGCACTCCTCTAGAATTACATTTCCATGGTTTTGAAGCAAAGTCATCTTAAAATTGAAATTCCATCTGGACAACATAGGATTTCTAGGTCAGAAAATTTTTGAAGTACCTACAGTTTTCAAAAGCCCTAACGAGATTTTTTTAATCCTCCTAAATCCATTTTGAAAACTTAATCCGACATGGACCCCAAGCCCTATATAGAAGTGGAATGGGAAACGCCCACCAACAAAGAAGCCCTACCATTGCCGGAATTGGTGCTACACTGTCCAAGATGGTTCAGAGCGAAACAACAATTACCTTGCTGATCAATTTCTATGTTGTTAGGTGTCTCTTAACCCACTGATATTGAGCAACTCATCTATACGATTTTAATATGTTATATGTTATTCTACGATTAAAAGAAACTGAGGTTATTCAATAAATATCTGGCAAAATATGGGTTGTTTTACATCTTCATATTACAATGCAATTATCACAAGTGTAATCTTGAATATAAAAGTAAATTTCATGGCAAGCAAAGGCTCCCCCCACAACTTCAGATAAGTAGTAACAGATCTAAGCCACTAGATTGGGTCAGCTAAACCCTAACACGCATACAAACACATACAACAAGACCATCCTCACTCAAAAGAATATATATTCTTCATAAAAGTTTGAAGGAATACATTTTACATAAAAGTATACTTATTTTAGGACTGGATAGTATACATTCATGAGTATAGTGTAGGGTATTCAAACCGGCAATCCGCTATCCATACTTCTCAATAGAAGCTAAGGCGATTGTTCTGCTGATGGACTTAGAAGCGGGACGGCAGCTCATCTCTGATGTCTGTAGACAATTACATACAGTGGACCGCTGGTCTGAGTAACCCATACAAGACTCGCTACAATTATTCTATAATTTCCCTTGCTTTGAATGGAACTACCCACCCAGCTGGATATGTATTGAATTACATCCAATACAGTCACATAATTTACACTCATTTAATAATTTGTATTTAATCCATCACAATCATGCATCCTTTCGCACGAGCTCACAAACACACGTGTATGTATAGAGCCAGGCACACTGCTCAGATAACTATCTAAGCCCAATGGCACAAATTCAATCTGAGCCAATCTGATGGTCATGACCACGTTTCGTATTTTAATTTTAATTTTTTTTTACAAATTCAAATCACTTGAAATTTTGAACGTATAATATTTAAAAATTGGAAAATCTAATAAAAATATACAAAAAATAAATTAGTCAAAAATAAATTGACCAAATTTGAAACTTTGCAGAGTATTTTGGTTCAATTTATATTTTGTGGATAGTTTTTTTAATATTTTTATTTATGTTGCGCC